CATACAGATCGTCTGTGTTTAAAATATTCAGATTCAAATTACCGTCCGGTGCTGTGTCCGTTATTTTCAGTCCTCTCAGTGCTGGATAAACAGTGCCCCCTGCTGACGCAGAGCCTCTGGGTGTAATAAAGGACTGTTTAACTGTCTGAATGTCCAGTCAGAGCTGTTTCTGATGTTTCTGCGCTGGTTTACACTCAGAGGGAGAAACTAACTGACAGACAGAGATCAGTGAGAAGATGATGCTGCTGTTTATTTATACTGCCCAGTCCAGCACGGCGGACAATCAGAGTTAAGGGTTTAATCCCTGCTGAAAAAAGACCATTAGGATTGAAACCTGATGGTTCTGCTTTCTAATGGGATTTGGCTTAATGGTTACTGTAAGAGACCACTAGTTTTAAACAGAACACCTTTAGATCCCATAAGGAAACCATCAGATACGTCTGGAATCTGGGGCTGGATTCACTAAAGCTTTCTTAAGAAAAAACTTGTGAAGGTTTTTGAGATACTTAAGACTAAAGTTCATAATAATCGGCCTCGTTCAGCAGCCATACTTAGGAATGAATTCCTTCTTAATCCCACTTACACTCCAGTGTTCTCTTATGTGGGGTTTGTTCTTAGGTAAGAACAGATTCTACACACACTCAAGAGCACCAATGAGAGAACTGTTCTGCGCTTTAAGAACACGACATGAATCTGACGGAGACTTTTTCTTAGAACCTTTATCAAGAACACACTTAAGAACAGACCCAGGAAGATACTGTAGGTCACATATTTGTTAATCCCTGTTTTAAATTAAGTGCCGCAAAACAACTCAACTTAAAATAAACCCCAGATCAACAAATGTTTGGTCCTTGTTAGTGCAGCCTAACCCTAACCCCCCACACCCCCCACACCCCCCCAGAGCGCTGTGTGTGTCAGCTCAGATCTGGAGCTGTGGTTATGTAGGTTACAGTTACACAATCATCTGGATCTGTAACGTTCTTCCACCTCTTAGTTCTTCCTGTGGTGGGTTAGTGGGCCCCATCAAGAGCCTCCAGAACAACAGCTACTACGGTTCTCCACAAAGACGGAGGGCGTCAGAGCAGGAGATACTACGGTTCTCCACAAAGACGGAGGGCGTCAGAGCAGGAGATACTACGGTTCTCCACAAAGACGGAGGGCGTCAGAGCAGGAGGGGAGATAAAGCTCCTGTGTTTCAGCTCCGTAATCAGATACGGCTGAGCTGTCCGGCTCAGTGAGGACGCCGATTGTCTCAGTTATGGGAGAGCAGGTGTTCTCACTCCTCCACACCCCTCTCACATTCCCCCCCGCTCAATGACGGCTCCGCCCACATCACCCACATCACCCACACTGCCATTGTGCACCACCTGCACAGGTACACTTACATCTGTTTAATGAGGAGGCGTCAAAACAAACGCATCAGGGGAACATTCAGGTTCTTCACTCTGTCACCTAACATTCTTATAAATTAACACTTATATTTAACATACTTAATATGTAAATTATCTTAAATAAATGATCATATGATTTAACTGATTTACTGAAGCATTACCACACGGTTCTGCGAGAGTTCTTCATAGTGTTAAATCATTAAACGATAATCAATCACATCGAAAATCCTTTAGAAATGTATCAACCGTTCAGAGAAGCTGTTTAGAATCTCAGCAAGAATTTTCCTTATTTACACTATTTAAATACATCATATACACTCTCAAAGAGATGGCTCTTCAAGGGTTCTTCAGTAAAGAAAATGGTTCTATATAGAACCATGAACAATAAAGAAGCTTTTGCATGATTAAATGGGCCTGTAACAACAGAAAAAACATTTTTGGTTCTACATAGAACCATCTACAGCGCATTCTCCCTCAGTCTGAAGAACCATTTCACAATGCAGAGAACCAGTTAATCATGCAAAGGGTTCTTTATTGTTCATGGTTCCACATAGAACCATTTTCTTTATTAAAGAACCCTTGAGGAACCATCTTTTTCAGAGTGTAATATAATGTTTTGAGTGTAAATATTCATTCAAGATTTCAAGACTGATGTGAACAAATAATTAAAAATAAATAAAAAAAATTTACATTTCTTGCCAAGTTATCAGCACTGAGATCTCATGACTTTAGAAATACGGTGAATTCTGGATATTATTTTATTAGATCTTCCCTTAGATCCATTATAACTCACATGTTTGATGTTCTCCAGTGTTCTCAGTCAGTTTAGAACCTTCTACAGCTCGTTTCATCATTCTGGACACTCACATTTCTTCATATTAATGTTCTAATGATGATCTGAAAGCTGTGACGTTGTTCAGGATGAACATCAGGATCACTTTATGTCACATATCAGATTCATTCATCTGAATATTTAATACAATATACTTTGTTTTGACTCACACACATACTGTCAGTGTGCAGTGGCGCGGTTCTGATCTTAAAAGAACTTTTAAAACATTTTCTGTTCTTTTCTGGTTCCTTACTTCATAAACTCAGGAGTCACAAACAAGAAGCAAAATTCTGACCAAAACAACAAACAAATAAACAAACAATACAACAACAAGCAGGACTTCTAGAAAATTTAGACATATTCATAAAGTAGAACCAACACAATGATGGAATTGGGAGTTGTTCCTCAACAGTTCCTCAGACCCAGTAGAGTCAACAGTTCTACAGGCTCAGTAGAGTCAACAGTTCTACAGGCTCAGTAGAGTCAACAGTTCTACAGACTCAATGGTCAATGGTTCTAAAGGCTCAGTAGAGTCAATAGTTCTATAGGCTCAGTGGAGTCAATAGTTCTACAGACCCAGCAGAGATAATAGTTCTACAGGCTCAGTAGAGTCAATAGTTCTACAGACCCAGTAGAGTCAATAGTTCTACAGGCTCAGTAGAGTCAATATTTCTACAGGCTCAGTAGAGTCAATAGTTCTACAGGCTCAGTAGAGTCAATAGTTCTACAGGCTCAGTGGAGTCAATAGTTCTACAGACCCAGCAGAGTCAATAGTTCTACAGACCCAGCAGAGTCAATAGTTCTACAGGCTCAGTAGAGTCAATAGTTCTACAGACCCAGTAGAGTCAATAGTTCTACAGACCCAGTAGAGTCAATAGTTTTACAGACCCAGTGGAGTCAATAGTTCTACAGGCTCAGTGGAGTCAATAGTTCTACAGACCCAGCAGAGTCAATAGTTCTACAGGCTCAGTAGAGTCAATAGTTCTACAGACCCAGTAGAGTCAATAGTTCTACAGACCCAGTGGAGTCAATAGTTTTACAGACCCAGTGGAGTCAATAGTTCTACAGGCTCAGTGGAGTCAATAGTTCTACAGACCCAGTGGAGTCAATAGTTCTACAGACCCAGTGGAGTCAATAGTTCTACAGACCCAGTGGAGTCAATAGTTCTACAGGCTCAGTAGAGTCAATAGTTCTACCGACCCAGTGGAGTCAATAGTTCTACAGATTCAATAGAGTCAGTGGTTTGGTAGAGTTTGGTAGAGCTAGTGGTTCTCAGACTTGGTAGAGTCAGTGGTTCCTGATTCAGTAAACATTTATCCAGATCTGTGATTTGCTTTTATTGTCATTATTAATGGTTTAGTAAACATTACTGTCTTTTTATGTTCTTTTGCTTGTATTCCTGTAAAGCACTCTAAATTAAAGCCTTCAAATGATAAAATGTGCTAAATCAATAAACACTCCATAACATATTGTTGCTTATTTGTTAATTATTTGTTGAATTTATTCTTTGTATTTTTTATTTCTTTTAACAGATTATATATTTTGTATTGACCTCATTTTTATTTGTAAAACATCCCCCCAGTAAATGTATGGCCGAGACATGTCCAGTGTTTACAAGTAATGGAAGCTTATACCCACTGATTAGCACAGTGCTACCTGCATGTCTGACACTGTATGACATCCTGTTATCTGTGCATGCAGTGTATGTTTGTATATCACAGCGTGTCACACAGAGTCAGACGTCTGATCCAGATTCTCCACAAGGGTCTGAGGCTCAAATGCTCCTTAAAGGAGGCGCCGGAATGTAACAGCTGCATTTAAGGTGGAACGGAAAGTTTGAATCAGAAGCTGGTGAACTGAAGGCCAACTTCACCAACACGTTTCAGGCAAGTTGGAGATGATTTATCATGCAGTTAGCACTGTGCTAATTGGTGGGGTGTAATACTAGCCAGTTTCCAGGCTGCTGTAAACTCCCAGTTCACACCACACGTCTTGGCTGATTGGCTGCATTTGGAGTGAAGTGGTGAATCTGGACAGAAGTATCACTTTAAAGCCCTGACTGAGCTGTGATGCTGGGCGGGATTCTGCTGCTGGACCTGCGGCTCCTCGTCAGAATGTGGTGGCGATCAGGAAGCAGAGAGCTGAGAGCTGCAGTGAGGAGCAGTGAGGAGCAGTGATGAAGGAGTCTCTGCAGATCGTCGCTCTGTTTGTCGGGTTTCTCAGCTGCGTAACTGCCTTCATCTCTCTGCACAATCGGTCATGGAAAGAATCCACGGACTACGGGAACGTCATCATCACCTCCAACATCTTCGAGAACCTGTGGATGTCCTGCGCTGAGGACTCCACTGGAATTTACGACTGCTGGTACTTCCAGAGTTTACTCGCACTGCCAGGTGAGAACACAACAGCAGCAACAACAACAATAATAATGATAACAATAACAACAGTACAGATTTTATTAATATAATTCTTCAAATTCTTAACAGATTTTAATCAGATCTTAATCTGTTATTTTAATTAGTTAAACAGTTAAACTGTAAACTGCTGAACCATAAAACAGAATTAATCAGATTTTAGTCATTAATTATATAACATACAGTGTTTAAAACTGTTACACTGAATTTTAGAATGAACAAATAAATCAGCACTTTAGAGTAAACAAATAAAAACAAACAAGTAAACAAACTTTTTATTTAACTTAAATAAGGGGATTCACTTTGTGGAGCTCTCCTCAAATCATTTTTGGATAATACTGAAATATTAATATGCCCTGAAAGTGGTCAGTAATTTCTTTGGTCAGTTTAATGGTCAGTGAGTTTAGTGGTCAATGAGTTTACTGGTCCCCAAATGTAGTGATTAGTACAATTTAATGGTCAATGAGTTTAATGGTCAGTGAGTTTAGTGGTCAGTACACTTTGTGGTCAGTGAGTTTAGAAAGTTGCCATTTTAGTGGTCCATATTTTTCAGTGGTGATTGAGTTTAATGGTCGGTGAGTTTGGTGGTCAGTAATTTCAGTGGTCAGTGAGTTTGGTGGTTGATCATTTTAGTGGTCCATATTTTTAGTGGTCATTGAGTTTAATGTTCAGTGAGTGCTGTACTGGAGCTGCAGGTGGGCTGAAGGTGGAAGTTCCTCTGGTTCTTCAGGTTTGGAACAATGAGGCTTGGTGATGTCATGTCTCGGACTCCACCCCCTCTGATGGAGGAGGAGTTCAGGAGAGACATCACCGACCACAGAACTCAGAACCACCTCCACTCACAGGCAGCGCTCCACTCGGACTGGACGTCACACCTTCAGAGGAGCATCCCCGTCCCTCTGACTGTGAACAGCAGGTTTTCAGTCTCAGCGAGGCGTTTATTCATATCATCATCGTCATTAATTAAGTCGTGATTAAGTGATTAAGTGCGCGATGAACCCGGCGGTGGAGGTGATGGCGTTCTTCCTGGGGTTCTCCGGCTGGGTGATGTCCGGCATCTCCATCCCCAACAAGTTCTGGCGGGTCGCGGAGATGGAGGGCAACGTCATCACTGCCTCCACCGTCTACGAGAACCTGTGGATGTCCTGCATGGTCGACTCCACTGGCGTCCACAACTGCCAGGAGTTCCCCTCCATGCTCGGACTGTCCGGTACGTTAGCGTTAGCACACAGGGTCAGAAATTAGCTTTAGCTTGTAGTTTAAAAAAAATTAATAATCTGAATAATAATCTCTAAATGTTAAATATTATGTATTTATTGTTTAGATTATTCTATTTCTAGACATTTTTACTGTGATTCAGTCAAACGATCTTACTGTCTGAAAGTAGATGAATGAGCCAATCGATCCTCTCCAGTTTACAACTTACAATCAGTAACAATTTTAAAACAGGTTGAATAATATTACAATATAAAAGAGGCTTTTAACAAGAAATATTACAGCTCTACCTACATTTAAGATTCGTTAATGTCTGTAAATAAACAGAACCTGGTTCTTCTAATAAACAGAACATTCTGGTCTTTATTTTATTTCCACAGAGATAATATTATTATTTACACTGAGGTCTGAAATTAAACTGAGGCATTTCTTTTTCCATTTTCAAATTCTGGGTGTCATTAAATAAATAAATATAATAATAATTATACTTACAGTATAATAATGAAAGCTACTGGTGTTTGTTTTAGTTAGATGTTTTTACAGAATTTAAATCATTTTATAAGTATTTTGAATATTTTGCTTGAATATCAGACATTCATTCATCATATTTTGACACACTGCAGCAAAAATCTGCTTTAAAACAACAAAAATCAGCCAAATTACCACAAACATCACAAACTGAGAGTTACAGAGCTCAGAGAGATGATAATCAATAACTGTGCAGGAAAAACATTCAAATAAATGAAAATATTGTCACGTTTAAATAATTTGCTATTTAAAAGCAAACAGATAAAAAAAGAAACATGAGTTGAATAATGATTCCTGACCCTGTATGATAAATATGAATGAAGAGCTTTTATCAGGTTTCTGTGTGAGATTCACTCAGAGACCAACAACAGACAACTGAACACAAACAGCTCTGCTAGATTCAGTCAGTACAATGAGATCATTACTATTCCTATTATTATTATTATTATTATTATTATTATTATTGGTAGTAGTATGACTATCGTGGATGGTCAGCGGGGACTGATATGTAACTATGATCATGTAGAGCTGTGCATGTGCGGTTCTCTCTCTGGAGGAACCCAAACAGGTCTGAGGAGACAGGAGAACAGATGATTTATTACAGAAAAATATCAACACTTTACAAAATAAAGGTTACAAAATAAAATGTTTAATCGCATGAGCACTGTCCTCAGTCTCTCACTGTTAATAACTAATAATAACTAATAAACTGAATATTTACAATAAAAGTGTCACAGCAGTGTGTATATATATATTTATATATATATATATATATATATATATATATATATATATATATATATATATATATATAGTTATATGGTTATATTAGCTGTATGTGCTATTTTCTATATGAGCAGACATTGTGCGCAGATAGTAAAGTAAAAAAAAGTAATTATGTGAAAATAAGCACAAAATCAACAAACGGAAACAGCTCACTTATCTTGAGCAGTTAAAGTTGTGTTTACAGTAATTTGCTGGTGTAGCGCCCTCTGCTGGTCAGGAAGCAATGCGCTTTGGCTAACCTGTGGTTCTGTTTCTGTTCTAGGTTACGTTCAGGCCTCTCGAGCGCTCATGATCGCATCTATCGTGATGGGAACGTTCGGGCTGATCGCCACGCTGGTGGGAATGCAGTGCTCCAAAATAGGAGGAGAGAATTACGTCCTGAAGGGAAGAATCGCTGCTCTGGGGGGAGTCTTCTTTATCCTGCAGGGTAAGCGTGCCCCCTGGAGGCCTGAGGCAAAAAAGGCACATCACTCCCTGACAGTTTAGATTATACAGTAATGTAGTATTAGAAAAACAAGCAGGAAAGAAAGGAATGCAGTAATTCGGTTGGCTTGAGAAACTGACTGTTCTTCGTTTTGTTATTCTACACTTTTTTCACTGGCTGCAGTTTTTAAACTAGAACCACAAAACACTGCAGGTCTGTAGAGCCTATATGGGAATAGCGCCCCATATGGTTTTCATACAGCATTTGGTCAAACACGATTGTTTCCCCCAAAGAAAATGAACGATGGAGTTGAGGAAATTCAAATCTGACACAAATTATGTCACAAAGGACGACTCACACTGACCCCCATAGACTTTACATACACCCTCACACTCACACATATTAGCAACCACCTGGAACACCACAGCCCAGGCCTGGGTAACAGTCAATGATGGACAATAAATAAAGACAATAATTGCCATTTTGGGGAAAGAACTGAGAGAATTAAAGAGGACAAATTTACTGTTAAACAGCTCATAAATACATTGGGAAATTGGGGTTTACATTTTAGAAGTGCACACCCAATTATCAGTTTTCCTTCAGGATCAATAAAGTTCTATCTATCTATTTTATCATCCATGCCTACTAGCACCACCTTAGCAACCACCTGGGATACTACAGCAACAGCCCAGCAACGCCTTAGCAACCACCTGGGATACAGTAGCAACAGCTTGTCAAGCCAACCTAAAGTTTCATGAACGTTTGCCCTCTAGTTCACGTCTATTCCCTCCTGCAGGTCTGTGCACCATGATCGCCGTGTCCTGGTACGCCTTCAACATCACTCAGGAGTTCTTCGACCCCCTCTATCCTGGAACGAAGTAAGCGTGTTAGTGAAGACTGACTTTACTCTCAGCAGAGATCAAAGAGATTTTACCGGAACTGAAGCAGAGCCGCTTTGAGAGGAGTTTCCCCCTAAAATCAAAAGCATCACTGCAGAACAGCAGAGGGCGCCCATGAGCAAGTCCTCAGTGAATGAGGGTGAATGGAGCTAAACGGCTAATAAGAAAAAGTTAAAATAGTAACTTTTTATCCAGGACTTTCCTTTAATTTCAGAGAGCAGAAGAAAACATTTCACTAAAAAAATAAAAAAACTTACCTGTAAGTCACCTGAGCGCTGACTGGTTAGCGTTACTGCTACTGAGAGCTGATAGGTTAGCATTACTGCTACTGAGCGCTGATTGGTTAGCGTTACTGCTACTGAGTGCTGATTGGTTAGCGTTACTGCTACTGAGCGCTGATTGGTTAGCTGATTGGTTAGCATTACCGCTACTGAGCGCTGATTGGTTAGCGTTACTGCTACTGAGCACTGACTGGTTAGCATTACTGATAGGTTAGCATTACTGCTACTGAGGGCTGATTGGTTAGCATTACTGCTACTGAGAGCTGATAGGTTAGCGTTACTGCTACTGAGAGCTGATAGGTTAGCATTACTGCTACTGCGTTTCGTGCTCTCTGACGTTATGGTTGTACATGAGGTGCTGTTATAAACTCCTATAACTGGAGTTATAAAGCGCTGAGAAACAGAACAGCGGTGTTAAAATGTTTTGAGCTGCTCTGTGTTCAGGAAATTCATTCATTCCTCCAAATAAAAATGTTTAAGCATTTATAAACTATGATTTTGCTCAAATGCTCCATATTATTAACTCATTCATTTTGGACTCATTGGCGCCCTCTACTGTCTGCTGAAGCTGGTGCTGATGTGAGCGTGTCTGTGCTGCAGGTTCGAGATCGGTGAAGGTCTGTATATCGGCTGGTGTTCAGCCACGCTGGCTCTGTTCGGGGGGAGCTGTTTACTGTGCACGTGCGGGATGACCAGCAAAGAGGAGAAACGGTGGGTTTATCACATCATCACATCACCTCTTCACTTAGTACATCATCACATCAGCTCTTACTTATTACATCATCACATCAGCTCCTCATTTATTACATCCTCACATTAGCTCTTACTTATTACATGAACTCATCACCTCTTCACCTATTACATCACATCAGCTCCTCATTAATTACATCACATCAGCTCTTCACTTATTACATCACATCAGCTCCTCATTTATTATATCACATCAGCTCTTATTACATCATCACATCACATCTCCTATTACATCACATCACCTCTTTACTTATTACATCATCATATCAGCTCTGACACTGCCTGCTGAAAATCACAGAGACACCCCCCATTACCACCCACCCCCATCTCCCCATCTCAAATAAGTAAACATCATACAGCAGCCCAGAATAATCACCCTCAGTTTACAGCCTAAAGTGCCTGAAGTTCCATGTTGCTGTTTTTCTGCGTGTAAATAACTGAATGCGTCTCTACAAAATCACTGCTGCTCACTTGAACAGT